CGGGGAGTGTGCACTGACACATGTAGAATGCTGCATGTGGCGATTGGGTGTGAGCGGACCCAGCCTTTAGTTATATTAAATACCTACTCATGCAATTTCAGTAGGTTTAAAGACTTCCGTTTCATCCTTTTCCCGTCGCAGTTACTTCAGTACTGCCGTTAGGGTTGACGTCCGACTTAGGGTCAGGAGGTTATGGATTAGAGTTAGAGTTAGGGGTTAGGCAATAGACGTCAAATGTAATCGTATCTTCAGTCGTGGTCATCACGAGAGTCGACTACCTGCGAAAGCGCATTTACTAATTCCAACGCCAATAATTGTAAAATTTCATCGTTCGATAATCTGCCCTGCCTATTTTCGACATTCACTTATGCTCGGGAACTATAAAAGTGGACGCATAGGCAGTGCAGTACTACTTTGGCAAGTCTCCTACCAGTCACACCTTTTCAAATCGTACTAAATTTAGAACATAAATTTCTGAATTGACGTTGAACGCAGCCGTTCGTTTATGTCAGCAAGTTCGGCATAGGCATTAGACGCTGCTTTTTTGTCCGTCCACTCGCTGGGTCTTTTGCTGTCACTATCTCTTTCCATCGTCCCGCAGTTGCATTTGGCTGGAATATTTGACTGAAAGTAACACAGGCAGCCGAGATCGAGCACGAAATTAAGTAAGTTTTGATGTAACCTTAAATGTCGCAGATCAGGTTGCGTTCCTACGTGTGCATGTAATATAAGGGTCGTAGGAAGAACCTCTGATGACCGTTATAAGCTATAGTACATTTTGCATATTTACAGTCAGTATAAAACCAAATGCACTTAGACCGTGTTCGGTTCATAATATAACACCTGTTTACATTAAAAATGATGTCAGCTGTCACCATCTCGTTTGGCGGCGTGTTCCAGTGTCTGGCCACTAGTTGGCCGAAGAAAACTTTTCCAAGGCCTGGTAATATGGGTTCTCAGCTGGCCTTATGGGCTAGTTGTGTATGCAAACTAGAAGAGAACCTCCGACCTAAGTGACCAACTATGGCCATGGACAATCCAGAATGTTTAGAGCAAGTGACATTCGATAGAAAATATAGACCGATAGCTTTAAGTCAGTCCCGTTACGATAAATCCACTAGTACATCAACCATCTTCGTTTTTCAGCGATCCTTCTGTTTGAGAAGATCAGTACCTATCCATAGCCAGGGTGTCCCGGCTGACATTCCGCAGTCCAATTGGAGTCGCGCGAAGACAGCGAAGATTTTGTCGACCAGTTCCGGGGAAAATAGGTTAAATGTACATATTATCCCTGACCACATAAAATTCGAAAACGTTCAAATGCCCAGGCTTCTGTGCATTGACACATCTCTTATGGTAATGCCGTTAATAAAATATCACTGGTAAACGAATGCTTCTTGCCAGCGCTCAGGCGTAGAGCCAAACATTCGGACACATTAAACTTGGGAAGACACCTGTTCGATCAAACAAGGATTTGTTTTACGTGGTCAACACCGCTGACATAAGTCCAGATTTTTTATATCACTGACGAACGCATAAGCTTCGCACTCCACTTGCAACGTGCAGTTGTCCACGTAAATCAGGAATTGCAGTGGGATCCATCGAAGAAGTATTGCACTGACTAGTGTCTACAGAAGGTAATTTTCGTCTTTGGTGAAAAAGGATAGGGGAGATAAGCTGTTAAACAAGTGGAAAAAAAACTATAAGAAATTTGGGTGAAGAAATATTGACACGGAAGAAAAATAATGGATGCCTTAGCTTGATAATCAGTCACCAGTGAAGATTAGATTTCGATTTATTATAGTGGTCCGGTGATTTCTGCAATACGTTCAATACGAATTTACTTCGAAACCTAGTAGCTTAACAGTTGCAGATTTCTCTTGGAACTTTTATTCCCATTATTGCCATTCAGAAATGTGTGTCCGAATTTTATGTCATTTTAGAGGAGTTGCCAATAGTTCCGAGTTCAGTTACTCTGAACCTTTATTTGTTAGGTTTCAACTGAGAGGCCAGTTGCGGTCAGTAATCCTTCTTAATAGCGAAATGAACGCCCTACTTTGGTCTTTTATTGTAGCTTGAGTTTCAGTTTCCCATGACAAATTCAAAACATTATTTCAAAAGTGGATATTTTCCTTTCTAGGTGATTTCCGCATTAGTTGTGCAAATTTGGTTTAGAAAACTGCGAAAACTCTAAGCACAACACAACGCGTTTAATCTCCTTCTGTCAGGTACAAATAAGGTCAAGGGAGTTTGGCTACCGCCCTTCACTCGTCCGTGTTCCGAAAGTAGCCTTCTGCCAGAGAAGCCTGTCCGTTGCCCACTGACGCACTTTGTGATAACGGTTTCTGATAGGCCCGGTGCGGTTTATATTTCCCAGTTAATACCCAGAGCATTAGAATCTGCAACAATAAGGATGTACTTATTCTGACTGACTTTTACAACTCACTGATAAGAAGACTGCGGTCATATGTCCTGTTCGACGGACGTTATACCGCCGATAACGTCAGCTGAAAGACCTGGGTAATGAAAATACTAATTCTAATCAGTTTCACTTCCTTTGGTGGATTGTGCCCTTCAGCGTCGACAGTTAGTTTGCAGGTGACTTAGACCATTACACCTCCTTCTCTGACTGGTTATTCTCTTCTAAGGTATTGATGCCTCTTGAGTAATAGCTTGGATTTCGCAAAGTCTGCTGCGAGCCACGATTGTGTGAAAACCATGACGTCTGGCATAATTTCATCAAGTAAGTTTCTGAGTTCATCCAGCTTTTTGAATAGAATTTGTATATTTGCGAAAATAACCTTCGGTGGTCGGATCGTCGAGGCAGTCCAGTATTCATTATAATGAGTTTCGTCCACGGGAATAACTCCTTGGTATTTTGATTATCAACCCTCTCTCCTCCGCTGCTCATCCTCTCACTCAAGTCCATCCTCAGTCCCTTATTTTTAGGCCTTCCGTCGGTTTGTATTCCGGATGAAAATAACATTCCTTTATGCGACTACCACGAAGTCTGGACTTTATTTTCCAGAATGTCTTTCATCGACCTTGGGGATGATCACAGATCACGAACTGATTATGATTTCCCTCTTCGGAAAGTTGTTGCCTCCTGGTATTTGTCGAGACTGGGTGTCATGTGAGGTGACTGTGGCTGGCATATTGTTGGACCTCATGGCAGTCAGTTAGTTGAGTTTAGAAGACAAGTGCTACATACTGACGCTGATAGCTATCCGCGAGAAGAAAGAAATCATGTAGGACGTGAACCAGCTGATATGTACGGCTGCATTGAGTGACATATAGGCGAACCACCACAATTCCTAATCAAGTAGCTGGTCGTTTATGATTTATACAGTTAGTAATGCTGCGAAGTCCAAATTAGCTACAATGGCGCGAGATCACGTAACACCGTTTAACAGGCCTCCCGCGACTTTATCACCTTGTTATTTGGAAAACAGTAGAATGGATGCCTATACGAATCGACAATCAAAATTGTACGGAACACTTGAACCCTCAGGAACAAGCAAACCTCCAGAAACAACATCATCAGCCAATTAATATGCTGACCGCAATGTCCAACTATTTAGTTAGTAATGCTTTTGTTATCTGGTCGAAATACAACAAATAAAGTAAATGGGCAAATATTTTGGTTCTTTATGAGAACTAAGGCGGTTAACTTATGAATCGTAAAGTGAAAAGTTAGGCAATACCCGTCGTACAGATCTTCAGGGTAAAATCTGTCATCTTTATGAGAGAACCATTCATTTATTCTACGTGGTATCCAAGAAGGATGGGGCTGTGGAGACTCGATATTTTCTTCAAATGATACTCCCAGGTTTTCTGTACTGGGGATTATTTCCTCTAACGACTATGCTGCAGCTTTCCGCAGTAGATAAATTCATCGAGTCCAAAAAGGTTTTACACAGTAGGAAAAGGGTTAATAGTGAAACTGATAGAAACGTGCATCCAGCAAAAGTATCAGGAATCCATAAGGAAAAGTCGCTTCTCATAACAGTCAACTAAAGGAAAAGGAAAATGAAAAAAATGTTCGTTTCGGCTGCAAATCTCGTCCTGCTGTATAGCGTTTTGAGTTATCTTTTAAGGATAGCACAGTCCCTTCAGCCACATATCTCCAATACCGGCCACTAATTCCTCTTTATTCCGCCATTGTAGCGCTTCTCATTATTTCGCCTTCCCACATCTCCACGCCCATGGTTTCCATAAATTAATGATGGATGAGTTCCCTGTTCTATATCTTGCATGCCCACACCATTCTCATGATTCTGGCACTAAGGTTTCATACGTGTGCACGTTCCGTAGAAAGAGCGGACAGTTCTTGTGGTAGCGTTTACTCTCAGTAAGCTTTACGTAAATGCCTCTGCATGGCAAACTGACTTTCCTTGGACTATCTAAAAATGTTTGGAGCAGCAGCCCCCCAAAATATCTTAGTAGCTCAGCATACTTGGTTTCTTTGGACCTCCACGTCAACCGCCCCACTGATAGGTCGACTGAAACAATTCTTCAGTGACCATCGGATGGGCACTTGGGGGTAATCTAGGCAGACTTATCCTAAAAATTCAAACGTAGTTGGCCATGACGAATAATTGGAAAAGGCAATATTAACGGTGAAAAACTGCTTTATTTAATAATGTGCGATTTTAAATATTTGGAGGTACTGATAGATGAGAATTCAAGGGGATCAAATCAACATGAACGATGAAAGTTACTCCGAGTTGGTACATGTTCCTTCCCAGAAACATTCTATGAAAGAGGCAGTAGATTTTATTAAGTTGTAACTTATAAATTGTCTAAGTCGACTGTGGGAGGCGCGCACAATACCTGTCATCAACAAACTCAAGTAAACAGTCTTATCGCCCATTTCTTGAGAACAACCACCTTGTCGATTAAAACAATATCAAGGTCGAATTGGACTCGTCGCACGTATTTAAATGTTGCCAGTGTCAACGGCGCGTAGTTGTTCACACAACTTCTGCCCTCTACGCAACATGTCGCAACCTCTGGTGCTAGGTTATTGGAAAATCCGTGGGGTAATATTTAAAATCTTATGTTCTCGATTTACATTCTCGCGATAGCAATGTTATTCTATCAAAGTTGGTTTTGTCCCTTATACCTAGAAATATATTTCTAGGTATATATATTTCAAAATATATATATTTTGAAGAGTTATATAAAAGCAAGGGTCTTTTGACAGGATACCTACTCGTTCTCAGTTAATTGATATAGTTAACTCGACGGGATGTTGACTTTCGTCACGACAAATACAAGTCTAGATACTATAAGTTGGTCGAATAAGGACGTTAATGCATGCGGGCATGTATTAATTCAAACCATTGCCAACGCACTAATTTGTGTTTTCTTTCTCGGGTTCGTCCTTCATGTCTACTTAGGATCACTATTTTAGCCAACGTTATGAACGTATAATCGTTACCATTGTTGGCGAACACCATCTTATTTGACCCCTGAAGGAAACGTAGTTTCAATTAGGAAAACCATATGTATACATACATATAGTTTTTTCTAATTAAAACCACTGTATTTTTCTTATTCTAAAAAAAGAATGAAAATTTTTAAAGTCACCAACGGTATCTTCGGGCTTTTTCTACGTGGAGGTCTGCAGTAAGCCGGCGTTTTTAACAGGCCTCCTGTGTTTATAGAACAACAGGCAGGACCTTTAGCATCGGCCTCGACCGCAACGCGAGGCACAGAAACGCGGGCTTACTGTAGGTTAACTCACTGGAATCAAACGAAAGTGAATTTACCTTCGAAGGCTGGGGTCCTTGACAGTCGATGCGCGTGGTTTTCGTAGGCATGGAGGGACCTATTCAACCTTTGCTTGAAGATGACTTCCAACAGGTTGAGATCTCTCGGCAGCTGCCTACGCCACATGGCGCGCACATAGTAATATTATAAGCACGGCTTGACAATCGAAAACGGGGTTCGCGCATGCCCTTCTTCGCTTTCTGCCACTTCATATTAATATGATTTGTAATGTCATCATCAAAGAAGACAATAAATACGCCCCGGACAAAGCCGCCAACATTAAGATCATCAAGTCAGAATGGCAAGAATATCCAATGATAACAGTAAAGTGGGTATTGTGATTCAACATTTTCTCCCAGCCCTCCGCGTTAATAAGCACAAAATTTATCAACTATTCGTCCTTTCGTGCTCAGAAGTGTGCACAGGGGTTCCACACTAGACTACACAGTCTTCAGTATGCATATGTGCGAGAGGTCGCGACGATAGCCTTTGGGAGGCATGCCTAGTCTTCAGAAATAACTTCCTATAGACACTGCAATATTAGACACTGCATGCTCACGATCCTTTTATGTGACCGGTGTAGGGATGATAGGAAACCTAAAGGATCGATTAGTAAACGACGAAACTACTTAATAACTGGCATTCTTTAAGAAATCTAGAGTCCATAATTTGTTTTGGCGTTCAGCCTATGCGCGGTCTTCGTAAGCCTACACGTTCATCATTAGAATTTAATTGTTTACGCGATTACTGCTATGGGAGATGTCATTTGATTTCCTTAAAATGTTAGGGCCTTTTTTCTCGTGGTCATATGCTGCACGAGCAGATTCTTTGTATTAAAATTTATAATAAAGATTATGCAATTTTTGGTATTTTAGGACATAAATTTAATTTAAAACAGTTTTACTTTAGAGCATTGTGTCAAGGACATGCTTTTTTGACAGCGAGTTTTTTATAGTATATTTGATAACTGGTTGTGTACAATGGGGTCCAGCTATTGTAATGGCAATTTGCCCACGACCAAATTATCGAACATCCATGAATTACGAGCCCTATTGTAGAAGTAAAATTATAGTTTCTTTTATTTATGTAGGAGGCAACCGGCTAATTGAAAACATTGGATTCCTTGATATACACTCAAAAACTATATTTTCTCATTTTGTCACTGCTTAATGTCAGTCATCGTGTTATGTTCTGAAATATTAGGGACATCGTTGTTTGCATTTTCAATACCTGCTTCTCTTACATTCAGGCCTTGCCGTTGTAAATTATCTTCCGATTATACATTTTCTGTGTATCATTACCACATTTCATGTCATAAATGAACTACAGTCCCAGGTGCATCAGAAAATACAGGCAAAAGTTAAGTTTGACAGATCTCCAGCGCTGCAGAAAGTACTGAAACAGCTGAATATTCGCAGGTGCGTTAAAACATGCTAAAACACAGGGAAAATAAAACCGTCGGTTCTTATATCCGAATATTTCAGGCTCGTGCTCTTGTGGGTAACGTTCGATATTATGAGGCATTCTTTATCAGCATCTTCCTGTGACTGCTGAATTTTGGATGCCTTGCGGACTGCAAGAGCATAATGGTGCGAACCTTTGTCTCTTTAGAGCACGAAGCAACAGTACTGTAGGCCGAACGGACAGTGGTAACCTGCAAATCCTATATAAATAATAGAGATATGTTTTTTGTTAGTTTGTACAGATAGCTGAATAAGTTCCTTTGTTTGACTTTTCAGTTGGCCCAAGCCATCCGTCTTCTACTTCACTACTGCGGTGAAGAGTACGTTGAAGATTCATATGAATTCGGTGGACGTAATTTGTTTTGTTATCGTACTCGATTCTTTCAGCTCCGGACTTTTCTGGGGAAGCATGGTTTAAATGCAAATTTAACAAAGGCCTTGACTTCCCAAATGTACGCTGAATCTATATACACATATTCTTTTAGCTACCATATTTGATTGATGATGGATTTATGATCACACAGTCTAATGCGATCTTGGAATATGTGGCTGACAAAAATGGAATGCGTACGTTTATGATCCCAATTTATATATCGAACCCCAAATTTAAGCCTCATATCAAGCAAAGGCTTCATTTCAGATTCTAACAGGGGCTGTTCAGATTTAGCGTTATTTTACGAATCGAAGGTTTGCGGTGTTTTTACCAGAATAGCGTAAGACAGCCAAATTTGATATATAAAAATGGCTGTTTGTATCTCCCTAATCTTGGTTACTTTGAAGGCCGCACGAATCTATTAATCACTAAAATCCCTCATCTGTCCAGCAGTCGTTGACTGCGTTGTTTAGTCGTCTAGCTCACGTCTGCCTTATACCACTTTGACCACTCACATTATATTCTAGACAGGGTACAGCAGATTAATGATTTACGTCTAGGTTTTGTGGCGTAATTAACTTTACATTTTTTCAAAGAGGTCCAAACACTTTTGTAACAAAAGGAGAATTTTTAGCTATGCTTCCGTTTTGAACACTTTATGGGTTAATTTTAACTTTAGTTCCAAATTCTGCCAAGGAACGCGCCGTTCTGCATATGTTACAGGCAGAACTGACCGACTTTAGAGCCAACCTTCGTCTTCTTATTTTCAATCCAGACTTTGTAAGTCTGTCGAACTTGCAGAGCTGTGTCTTGCAGAGAGAGATTATTAAGGGTTGCTTTTTGCCTTGCTGTTTCTTCCTCCTCTTGATGATCTTTTTTGATTCCGGCAGCACAACCTCAAACAAGAATATCTGGACGGTTTGCCTGCAAAGCTGCAAGCGTGGTCGGACTATTTGGGCGATAAACTCTGGCTTACCGGAGAAATGGTAGCTACGGCATTTTGTTAAAATTTTCATTTCTCGGCGTTTCTTTTAAGAGTCTTCTCAAGGCGCATGGTGCACTTAAAGGTTTCATTTGACTTTTCGTGGAGTGACACTCGTTTGACAAGGTTCCTTCCTATCTTACAAAATTGGACCAAATCGAGCACATCATCAGCGAGGTTGCAGCGAAGAAGATATCGAAATGACCGGTGTATGAAGGCATGGAGTTTGCTTCCCATAGTTAAACCTACAGACACGAGAAAACTGATAGGTTATAGTATCTGACCCGTCTTATGAAGTGTTAACCGAGATTTCTGAAGCGTGAAGGGAAATAATGGCCACCTGAGGATGTTGGCTTATAAATCAGCCCCGTTTTGTCTTCCTACAGAATCCCCTGTCCGTAAAAATGGCCACATATGTAGTATGAACCCTTTCCATTGATTTTTGATGTCCTTGTAAATCCTAATAAATTTTGAAGAAAATACGCTCAAAATATCCTTTTTTGTGCTATCTTGATAACAGAGTAGGTCTTCATATCTTGTATCCAAGGGTTATTTTTTATTTCAGAAATGTTCGATTTTTGGGGATTTTAAGACGGTGAAATGTCTATTCACACGTTCATAATTTATGCGACATGCTCCGCATTTATTGTTAGCTCTTATTTTTGCCGTATGGTCTTTTTTCAGTGGAATATAGAAATGCATGATTTTCCTTATACCGGAAGTATGTGGTATGCAGTTTGAAGGCCCGGTTCAAAATTAGCTGGGAATCGAAAAGAGGTTTCTAAAACCCCCAGGATACACATCCTTTGAATATAAGCTTTGAAGAAGACGTGAGGTCGTATCAAATGAATACGCTAAAATATATCACTGTGCATGTTTTTTTATAAAACAGACTTGAATTCAAATGACCATCGAAAATCAATGAATATTACCCATACTTATTATGTAACCCTTTGTTGCCGAATTTGATTTCCAAGAGGCCAAAATAAAGCTCGTTCAAATAGTCGCATCCTGCGTGCCTGGAAAATGTAGGGTTTATGTTGTACGATATTAAAATTTGCAACCCCACCCAAGTACTTCATTATTGCAGAATTTGGGTTGACATTTCATAAGTCTGATCAGATACTATATGTGTGCAGGAGAGCCGAGTTTTGGTTTGCTGTTTGTCATTCTAACTGTACATGGGTTGGTCTGCGAAAGAACTGACTTGTGCAATGCTTGTAATTCTTTCCCCACCATATTCTCTATGCAGTCATATCCAACAGCTTCTAACGACCTCTTATCAAGTATGATTTAACCCACTAAGCTCAACCTGGCCAGTTTCAGTTGCTGTTAACTGATCCTGACTGCATTTTGCGGAATCTCATGACGAGAAGAGTTGGTAGAGCAAATATGCATCCCTCCTCTTCTATAAGTTATCTTTTGCTTATTTAGTTGCGTCAATAACATGCACTAATTTACGCTGTCGTAGACTCCTAACAGAATTTGTTCTTGTGGAGTTTTATTTCGGGCCTGATTCTCGTGATATATCCTGAATTTTTTTGTGTTTCCTAACGTGCAGATAAATTACCCGGATTTCAAATTTTACGACCTCTTGGATTCACTGAGAGCACTGGAGTCTAGTTGTCTCGATAAATTTCCCAATCTAAAGAACTATATGGACCGATTTGAGGCAAGTCTCGTCTTTTGCTTTGAGCTGCAGACTTGACTCCTTCAAGTGCCGTCCTTGTTGGTTCAGATCAGGCAGACGCGTCGTATTGACAGAGTAAAGTAGACGGTAATCTCGTCGGATTCAGAGTGCGCCGAAATCCTGTCATAGTTTAGAAACACCCTAAAATGAGCTTCGTCGCCATATATGTCTGCGACCTTTGCCATTGTTTAACTCAAAGTAACCATCAAAAAGATGTGAAATACGAACCGTGCGACCTACAGTAACTTCACAGAGGATAGTTGCGTCTGTGTTGGTGACGGTGGTTTCAGTCATAGGTCTTGAAGAAGGAGACAGGATCGCCGGGACAAGAGCTTTATTAGCCTGACGTTTCGGATTTCTGCTCGAACCCATCATCAGAGACAAAAGGATGATTATAATGGGTTCGAGCAGGAATCCGAAACATCAGGCTAATAAAGCTCTTGTCCCAGCGATCGTGTCTTCTTCTTCTTCTTCTTCAAGACTACTTCCTGGGACTCGTCTCTTCTCTTCTATTGGCAGTCATAGGTCTGTAAAAATATGCTATGCCAGTATCAGAAAACCATAGCTCACACAGCCTGAAATGCGCTGTCAGTTCCCTGACACCAGGTTCTCTGCTGGTAAATGCACTTGCGATCCCGCTGGGTATACAGATAGTGGACATAGCTGCCCAGTCATCTTCATCGTTCTGGCCCCTGTTGGGGTGTAGTTGTTTTTATTGGCGGCGAGAAATCCCAGTCATTTGCAGTGTGGGCCAGGGGGTGTAATGGCACGCCTAGGTGCGGCTCCGGCCGTGCCAGCCACCTGCGCCCTCCCCCGCCTCCGGTCTTATTGGCTCTGTCTTGACACCGGGTCCAAGTGGGGAGTAGGAGGAGGGACTACGGTAGATGCTGCGCAAGTCTACTATCACTTTAAACTAATTTTCGCACAAATCACCGTCCCGGCTCCCACCTTGTTGTGGAGCATAAGGTGGACATCATCGGATGAGACGGTCGAACTGTCGATTTTATTCATAGGTGTATTAATAGTAACAAACTCGCTAGTGTAGCGGCCCTGATTGCATTGCGTAGATTGGCGGTTCCGTTTTGCCCAGAATTTCGGAGTTTAGAGCAGACCCCGGCGGTCACCTAACGAACAATCATTGAGAAATATATTACATGTCGAACTGAGTACGGCTTTATCAAAAGTAACATCAGCAGAGCCGTTTTGTAACGAAAGAAGGTTCCCTGAGGCGGTCCCTTTAATGTGCTTGTGGAATGTACTGTCGCAGGAACATAAAATATCACGATAAACCTAAAATGAGTCATTCGTATGAGCTCTCTGACCGACACAGTTACTGCTCTCTTTTTTATGCCACAGTATTAATGGTAATAATAGTGGTAGTAGTAATAATAATAGGAGCAGTAGTATCAGTAATGCGGAGAAGAATAGAAATCAGCCTTTTGTCCTACAAGATACACAGCAAAAATTAAGGCAAACACAACCATATCTGACATCTTAAATCGCCTCTTGCATCCGAGGAATTACCCACAGACAAGTAGTTGTATTATGCGAATGTATTTCCCTATGGAAACTTGAGGCTTATGGTTGTTTGGAAAACGCACATTTTCGGGTGCCTGTTTTTTCTTCTCCTCATCGTAATATTTCGCAGTCTTCAGCTGCTGCTTTGCCAAAATCGTTTGTCGTGCATTTAATTTTAATAGAACAGTTAAGGAGTGTTTACGAATCACATTGTGTTTTCCAAAATAACGACTCTGTGGTTTGGTTTTAGGCTTTGGAACCAATCAAACAATTCCAGAACTCAGATGCATACATGGCCCGCCCATTTTTTGGCCCTAAGGCTTCATGGCAGCATGGAAATGTCTAGAAAACCCGCTTCCCAATGGCGGCCTTCATTATATGGGCAACCTTATTTTTGCCGTTTAAATATGATTTGCATTAATTCACGCGTGTTTCTCCATTGGCCTGAAACCGTCAATAAGCAGGTTTGGGTAGTAGCTTTCTGGCGGTACAAAAGTGGATGACGTGACGCATCAGATATTATGTCATAGTGCCGATATTGTATATATATTGTATATATAAATTTATAGTATCATAGTAACGGATCTTATGAAGTGCTGATTGAAATCCTAAAGTGTTTTTCCTATTAGGGAGAAATTCTTAGGAGGACTTGTAAATCTTATTATCGTACAGCATAATCCTAGGATTTCAGATGCGTCCCAGGATGTTCGCTTTTTTCTGCATGTTTCCTCCATCCCCGGGAAAAGACCGTCCTCGATAAGAATGACTTCTTAAGTAGTATGACTATTCTACTGATTGTTGAAGTTCTTATGAAGTAAAATAAATGTTATAAAAATTACGTAATTTAAAGAAAATCATTTCTTTTTTAAATTTCACACCCGAAAAATGCGTACTTTTCGATTTTTTAAAATTTTTTAATTATAAAAATTGTAAGTCCGCACTATGCCCACTCAAGTAGTATCACATCTGTCAAGTTACTTATGCTTCCCATGAAGTACGTAACATAACTCACACACTTTGCACAACTTTATGAGCATTTGCTAGCATCCTCTTTGTGGCAGATAGGAATTTATGTCCTTCATTACACGGCAAGTATACCGTTCGCTGACTGAAAACCCCAAAGACAAATGCACCCACGGATTGTATTCAGACATATTCGGGGATTGAAAATAATTATTGAAACCTAAAAATGCCCTTCCTTTGAATATGCCGTCTGAAGGTAGCATGATTTACTGCTAAATGAGCGCAGGAGGGACCATTTTGCGCATTCTTTCTGCAAAATATGCTTGACTTTATACGAGGATCAAAAATCAATAGCAACGGTTCACACTACTAAAGAATTCATTTTTACCGAATTCGTTTTTGCAGACGATCGAAAGGACATGAATATAAAAGCAACTTTCTAGCCGTCTGAAATGTTTTGGGATAATGCTGTTCGACGATCAACACGACAATCTCATTCGGGTGATCCTAGACAAAAACGCATTTCCGGACAACATCTAATGAGATCGGTCACTGTCTGCATTGAGATGTCATGTGCGCCACTTTGAACTGCATGAGTTATTTTCGTCTCAGGTAGGACGCAGTTATGCCATGCTTATTATGCGACAGTCTTGCGCTGCAGTTAATTCACTTCACGCAGCTTGCATACGTTTACTGACCCACCCCCCCTCCCCACAAAATACGAAATGAATTGATTAGCACCCTCTGGCGTACGAAAAAGCATGCTACGAGCCAAATTCGATGGTGTGATCGTAGTCTGAAAGCCTTTTTATAAGACGCGCCGCACCTTAAATTAATCATAATTTGGTGTCACAGGAGTCGCGAGCGTCGCAGTGCAACCCGCATCCCAGTGGAGGAATCAGTTGCATTATCCGCGACTACTAGTACGTCGTGCTAGACGGGACAAGTTGTGCATGTAGAGACTTGAGCGGGATCCTTGCGGTGCCTTTGTAGTGTCGTCTTGGCCCGTTTAGTTTCGGACACCCCACACTCATGCCTCTAGCTTCCTTTCGGTATGTCTCTCGAAGACTTCTTTATCACGATAATTCGCAAACTTGCAGTGCTCTGTCCACTGTTTACTCGGTTAATATTTTCATGCCCGGGAGTAGCTTATATACTTCCTTTTCGTATTATATCAGCCTCAACTATCGAGGGGGGAGTGCGAACCTCATTAATAATTATTAGGTATAGAGTACACGCCAAATGAAATTTCTTCCGACGCACAATCAACGACCGACCTCACAAAATGTTACCCGGAATTCAGAAGTTGCGCATCTGAATTATAATGGGATTGCGCCACAAGATAGTATCACAACCTCAATTAATCCTTCCTAATTGCAAAACGCATCTCAGAATTTGGGCAATACTTCATGAGACAAGTCAATAACTGTAATTGGTTAAAGTACGTGAGGTGAATCAGTTTTATCAATTACAGTCATTGCCTGCTGCAACCGTCGAAACTATTGGTGAATACTGTAGCCCGTGTTAGTAAGATGAGGTTATGTAGCCGCACCTGATGAACACAACACTGCTGACCTAGTTAAGCATTTTGAGTTAGTGTGCTTATATTGGTATGATGTTTCTGTGAATTGCGATGTGTGTTCCGTTGGCGGCCTTGTTTCTTTGTTGCCGTGTCTACCTTTTTCGGTCCAATGCCGGTGGTCGTTCTTGACTTTCGGAATCTCTTCCCTTCTGACTCTCGCGTTGAAGGTTTTAGGGTTAGGATTTAGCGCTACAGTTAAGGGTTAAGTTTAGGGTTAAAGGGTACGGGTTTGGGCTCAGAGTTAGGGGTTGGGGGTTAGGTCTAGGGGTTAGTGTCAGTGGCTGTGGTTATGGGTTAGGGTTGGGGTTTAGGGCACCCATTTCTCAACCACTCAAATTACAACCGTGCATTCCCAAATAGCTTCTCTTTAGCATACAATTATTTGACCCCAACGCCTGTGCGTTCCCCGACCTCACCTGTAAAAACCCCTAATACCACCGGTCCCGTATTACAGGTTGCTGCGGTGTTCTCACCTCAGGTGCGGCTACATTACCACCTCTGACCCCCTTGTTTGTCAAGTTACAGTAGTCGACAATAAGAAGATTTTCAAATCCCACGTTAAGGATGACAGACTTTGGACTAACATTACCGCAACAAGAGGACGTACACGCAGCTCTGCGAGAGATCTCAACACGTTTTTCCGGCAGCCGATTGACGGCTGTTGAGTTTACTAGGCCTCAACGCGAAGCGCGTGCGTGCAGCTGGACCTTGTGCGCCTACATCTAATCAGCGAAGGAGGCAGTATCGATTGGCCTTGGACGCTGGCGATGATAGCGCCAAGTCTCACGCGACTGAAGAAATCGATTGCCCGGGGACGTTAACGTATTAGAGTCGGTATGAGTATGTAACAGTGCAGGCGATCGGGGGAACAGGCCGTCACGCGTTCACGAGGAGGCCGTAAATCCCAAATTCGCGTTATCTACGGCATAATCAAAAATCGAGGAAGTCCGCTTTT